CAAAAATTCCTGTTTCTGGAGGTTGGGAGAGAAGGCAGAGCTCACTCTGACTGTAAGGTCATCAGGCTGCTCTTTTTAAGTAGGGGGTCTAGGGCACAGCTAAGCAGCAGTTTCCAGGTGGGCTGGCCATGGGGTGCAAACCTGAACCTCTTTTGCAGTGCGGAGGAAGCAGTGATCCCCCCAATTGCCTCTTTAACTTCATAACTTCATAAAGTGTAAATGAAATTCCAAGTGCAGAATCCAATGGACTTACTTGCTATAAACTTGTAGGAAATGCAAGATGAGTTGAAAAACATATTACTAAATTTATATTAAATGTGTGATGAGATGAACCCTAGGAAACTGATCTTTCTCTGTTTATGTGCCCAGGGCCTGGAATACTTTAAAAGACTGATATATTAATTTAATGATTTCTGAACTCTTAAAATTCCTTTAGAATGCATATGTAGCTATTCAGTGTTATTTGAAAAGTACCTTGTTATTAATGGGATGTACTTTTTAAAAAAAAGATGCCACCGTTTAATTCCTTCAAGTACTGTACTTTTAATCCATCCTTAACCCACTTTACTGTTCTTAAAATCTTAGTGTCAGTGGTCCTTATTGTAGCCCAAAAGCCTAGGACACAGTAATATTGGTTGAATTAAGTTGAATTTGACTCATTTGCTGCTTTAAGAAATGTTACAGAATTGCATGACAATAACTTAAATATTTGCCATGCACTGTAGCACACCAAGTATTTTGGTTTTGCTTAATTATTGAAAAGTTAATAATATACATAATTCCTTGAAGTTTTAGTATTTCGATTTCAGTGGAAAATAATGACCGTGGGTTGAAATTATTTCTAATTAAATTCAACTGGCTCTTGGATGGATGTCCCAAAATTAGACTCTTTAACTGACTCATCACTTTAGGCCCTGAAGTCCTAATGGCCGTCATCTTAAATATAGTCTGGATGCCACATTCTGTGACTATGAATCCTAAAGTATCTTGCACAGAAAAAGTATGATGGTTAGGCCAAGGTACCGATTTAGGTCCGCATTTGTTCCTAATTCAACAATATGGCCTGTAAGAATTTACGTTGAGAATCTAGGTAAGAATCTTGGTAGTGGGGATTCCTCAAGATACCCATTTCCTGTTGATTGGTACTTCTGTGCAGGGGGTAATGTTTTTGGCCGTATATGCACAGCCACCACAAGGGATGTGTGGCCAGTAGAGGAGCCGAGAAGCCGAGGCTACCATTCCCTATCCTTAGCTTGCTTTGGATAGAATGCTTCAGAGTCTAGAGAACTCCAAAAGGTCATAGCAGCTTCTGCAGTATTTATGGCTGAGACTGGAAGAATCGCTCATGGGCCAGCTCATCTTGGTAATTGCCAGGAGATAGAGAAGTATCTCTACAAACTGCTCACCTTTATTATAGAAGAAACTCAGCAAACATATTTTGAATGAAACATTTAATACAAGCATTCACCAAAATGGTCTTGTTTTACTTTTGAACAAATGAACTTAGTATTGGACTTAAGTAAGGACTTTGAATGCTTTGGAGACTCGTTGATAAAAGAGAGAACCTTTTCTTGGTGCCTTGGTTATGTATCTCTCTGAGGCTTTGTATGCATGCTTCTAAATTTTAACTTTTGCCTGGATCCTGAGCTGAAAAGGGCACGCTGTGAAAATGCTGGAAATAGAACTTTGTTAGCATCTTTTAGGTAATACTAAATGAACTAATTGTGCCTTTTCAATAATGAAATTTGCAAGTGAATGGATGTCAGTTCTAGCAATACATGTCATATTATCTAAGGAAATTAGTATCTCCTCACTGATGCACAGCTAAGTTTTAGAAAAGTTTATTTTAAAACTGCCAACTGTCTCTTTCAATGTTGAGAAGTGTTTCCAATAGCCAAATTAAGAGTCGCGCTTCTGTTGACGGCACCTCTGGGACGCCATCTTATTGTAGACGGAAGTTCTGCTTGAGGTGTCTCCTGCCTTCGAGAGGCAGGTAGGTCCCTCTTATGGTTTGGTGCCGTGGGTGGGTGATCGCCGTGGTGGTTCCCAGTGAGAATTCACCAAGGTCATTTCTGTTTTTGACATGAATGGTTTTCATTGATAATTTTCACTACAACTAGGAAGCTTTTGCTATATGGTAGGCCAAGCTTTTTATATACATTATCTCCCTTGGTCCTGACCACAGCCCAATCATTTGCTATTTTGGGCCCCATTTTTAAGAGAAGACTGAAGCTCAGAGAGCTTAAGTATGTTGTTCAAAGACACACAGCCAAAACACACCACAGTGTGTGCTCAGATGCGGATGTGGGGAACCTGGAAGCTCAAACTTTTAGCCTCTTCACTAACCTCTTTTATTTGACATCATCAAATTGATAATGTGGATCAAGACTCCTACAGTAAAAGGTTTAGAACAAAAATGAGATCAAATACCCAGCGGGGTATTAGCAGTAGATTCCCAGTGGCTCACATTTGCCCCAGCTGAGAGTTTCACCTCCCCTCTTCTCTCCTTTCCAGTGTTTGGCAGGGAGAGAAGGATGCAGGAGCAAAATAACCATGAAGTTTGAGACCAGATGGGAAAAGAGTAACTACTTGGGACATAGGAGTATCCAATTTTTTGGCATCTCTGAGGCACACCGGATGAAGAAGGATTGTCTTGGGCCACACATTATACACAAACACTAACTAAAACAAAAAAATCTCATATTTTAGGTAAATTTACATTTTTGTGTTGGGCTGCATTCTAGCCTCCTGGGCCACGGGTTGGACACCCCTGGTAGAATCTCCATAGCAAGTAATGAGAGGAAGCCAACTTCCACTTCACATGCACAATATGCATCCCTGGGCCCCCCAACTGGAAGAGGTCTCACCCACAAGGACAAGGGTGGGGTAAGAAGGAAGAACAAAGTAGGACGTTACCTTTTCTTCATCTTCAGATTTCATAAGAAACTTGAGCCCATCTCGCTGAGTCAGGGATGTTACTTCCCTATTTGCCAGCGAATTGCAAGGTAGTTTTAGCACATTTGTGATAAAAAATGGTTTTGGATGGAAATATTGAAAACACACTTATTTCTTATTTACTGCAGAATGTCTTCACTGAGAGCTGGCCATTAGGCTGAGACAGTGATTGCTGACAAACAGCCCACGAGCGTAAGGCAACCCTGCTGTATCCCTTGAGAGAGCTCATGTTATTATAGCCATTAAAAACCAGAATTTTCCTCCCCGGTGACTTATATACAAATATTTTATTTCTCCTTATTGTGTTTCATTTGAATTATCCCTTTTACTTGTGGAAGCCCCAGTAGTACATGTATGTAAATATATATACACAAGTACATTTATTTAACATTCTAAATCTTAAGGCCCTAGTTTTAGTTACTTTGATCAGAAAAATGTAAAAAATAAAAAAAATGTGTGCATATTCTGAAACTTAATATTTAGGAAATGGAGGTTATTAGAGACAAATATAAGATTTTATCAGAAGAAAACATTAGAACACTTATCTTAGATTGTCTTTCCTCCTCATCCAATGGATATATGGGTTGGGTACACATAATGACAGCCTACCAGATCTGAGACAGCAAAATTCAGTGATTCTGCTCCTTGGCAGTCGTCTTCCTGAAACACTGCCCTTGGATGTCTAATGCATATTTGTGCCTTGTTAGATTGAAGAATGGATGCTGCTTTAACACTGGAGCTACTGGCAGCTTGTGGACTCAGGAATACTCTTATAAGGGAAGCTGGCACCTAGTTTTCTGGTTGTGTCTTCATGTAGAACTACATGAGTCATTTAATAAATGCAGACAAAAGTTCACAGTGGAGAGCTTTTTGGCATGGGTCATCTGACTTGAATGCCTATAGAAATCAAACAAAATGAACAATTGCCAAAATCTCTGCTGTATTTTGTACCAAAGAGAATGATCTAAGATACACTACCTAGACGACTGACATTTTACAAAGAAAATCATGGCATTTAGCAAAGATCCAAAAGACCAGCATATCAGTGAAGACATTATATAGACACACTCTTCAGGAAAATATTCTTAGGTCATTACTGATATTTCATGTCCAAGTGACAATACAAGGTTGAAAAACAGATCATCTACTTTTTCCTATGATCACATGAGTATATATGTTTTGAGAATAAGCTTATGGAATCCATATTTTTAAAAAAGTTTAAGCTCTTCTAAAGATCACCAAATACGTCTATTCATTTACCATTCTGATTCAAAAAGTGTAAGTATTCTGAGCAGAGTTAACAAAAGAACAGAATATGTAAAAGGAGCCTGCAGTATGGGGAGACTACTGAGAAACGAAGAGTACATTGTACTGCTCGACTTCCCGCGTGAACAGAGGGATGAGCTCATTGACCCACATTCCCTTTTGTGAACACTGAGGAAGCACTTGCAATACACAAGAATCAACCTTTCTGCATTACTGGGTTTCCAATTACTTTTCGTGTACATCTCTTCCCTTGCAAGAATGGAGATATTTTTCTTTAAAAAAATGAAGGTGGAAATAATGTCTTAACCAGAAGAAAATTTTAAGGTTAACATTAAAGGTCAAGGTAGAGCAAAGTATTTTCTTACAGAAGACTAGAAATTCTTGGATGTCCATACAAGGTGCTTGATCAGAGGTAGTGTTTACATGTGACTATTGTTGAACTAAACATTCTATTGTTTTTCTGTGATGAGACCATAAATGTTTGCTTGAAAAATATATTACCTACAAAAGGTTCATCTTCCACGATGACCTCAATTTACATACCATAGCTTGTTGAGGTCCCATTGGGTGTCTTCCTTGTGATTATGTACACAGGCTGAACTCATTAGTGTGGTGCAGTTCTTTCCTTCCCGGGTCTTGGACTCAGTTTGGATGAGCCTCTGATAATGCAGAGTGACGTGACCAGAAAAGAAAGAGTTCTGATGACTCAGAGTTGGCACTTTCCTAGAAAACGAGAACCTCCCACACATTCTGGCAGTGACCTGCTTCCACATAAGATGGTGGCTTCTAAGCTCAGTGAGTGTCTGAATGGTGTGAGACCCAGTTAGGGCATCGGAGAAGTTTCTGCTTCCAGATTTTCTAGCTGAAAAAAGAGAAAAAACAAAGGCAGTGAACGTTTCACATGGGGTTAGAACACACGTTTGTCGGGCATCTTCTGTCTGTCAGAACTGACTTGAGAGCCTTCGTGCGCACTTTCTCCTGCGACCATCGCAGTGTTTCCTAAGTGGCAAGACATTATATAATCTCTTGGGTCATTGTGGATAATGTCTTAGGTCATTGTGAACATGCGATTACATTTGTATACCCTAGTGAATAAGAACTCTATACTGGTCATCAAAGAGATATTATTATGGCTTCTCTTAAAATATAGAAGTTAATCCAAACTCTTTATCTTCCTCTGTCCTTGACCCTCTTTTCCTCTCCTTATCCTCAAATTATCCATAATTTGGTCAAAATTTCAAATGAAAGTTGCAGCACATTTAGAAATTTTCTGGACAAAGAAATTTTTATATTCAATTCTCAAAATTAATGGATCTTTTCCCTGAAGAAGCTGATTTGAAGTTCAGTGATTTCCTACCCCCTGTCCCCAGTTGCTAAGCTAGCATGTACGTATGTTGAGCAATAACGTGACAATTGTTCACAAGCGCAAAAATGCAGCTTGATATTTTCAAGTAAGGCAGGAGGATTATGGAAATGAAACAAGTTTTATAATTAAAAAATAATCATTGCCTTGCCATAGTTATTATAACTTTGGGTGAGAAGAAAGGGAAGTGTTTGTATAGTAACTATGAAGAGATGAAAAATTTCTTTCTTCAACTTTATTTTGGTAAGTTTCAAACTTCAGGAAAAGTGCAAGAATATGAATGGTACAAAGAGCACTTTACTCAGACTCACTGCTAATATTTTACTGTATTTGCTTTACTACTTGCTTCTGTTTGCTTTTTTTCTCTTCTAAACACAAACACACATGATCTTATGGAGCCATGAGATTATAAATTGATTGTTATCCCTAAGTTTTTCAATCTGTATTTCCTAAAAATGAGAATAGAGAATCATAACCACTGTTGTGATAGGCAGTCTGCCCTGGGCCCAGGGTGGTCCTGAACATGCTTTCCGACTGTGACAAACTGTAAGGCTTACCTGTCCTCTGACCTGGCCCCATTTTTGTGAATCAGGGCTGTCCAACCTTTGGGTGTCTCTGGGCCACACTGGAAGAAGAAGAGTTGTCTTGGGCCACACACTAAGTAAATTGTGACACATGTTCACAAACAAAGTCTCATAAAGTTTTAAGTACATTTATAATTTTGTGTTGGGCTGTATTCATAGCTCCCTGGACTGCATGTGGCCCGTGGGTTGGACACCCCTGATAATTGGCACATAGGTAATTAAGTAGGTCAAGGTGACCACAGTGTTAGCTGCTGTGTGACTGCTTGCTCCAGGGTAAGTTTACAAACTGCTTGCTGTGCAAGGGCTGAGATTTTTAGCTGTTGGTTCCTCAACTGTTACACAGCCCACTGTGTGTGCAACCACTACATGGTTCCACCGGCTTGTCCCGCGGGATATGGAGCAGGGGTGGCACTGTTATGCTAAAGCTTCTGCTGTTCACTGTGCTGTGAGCAGTGAACTGTCCAGGTCGGTTTGTCTATAGAATTTGGCACCTGCCTGCTTACTCAATCATCTCCGGAGACTTGGTAGTTCTTGCCATCTTCTCAAAGGTTGACGTTTTCCCAAAACCAATGTAACACACAGTGTGCCAAGACAGACAATGACATTTTGGAAGAGCAAAGGAAAGGGCTCATGGATGAGGTTTGAGGATATAGAGAGATGCCTTGGGAGCTGGTGACAAATGTTCTGGGCCAAGGGGTACAGACAGAGGGAGTTAGTGGTCCACCTCTGACCTAGCTGTTGATGAACAAGAATTGAGTTGATGGATGGAAGTTGAGGAATCAACTCCAGCTGCCCAAATGGTGCCATGGTTGCTTCTTGCTCTCCCATGAACCAGGGGAATAAGAGAATGCTCTGGGTCTCACCAGGTAGGAAATACAATCGCACCTAGTCTTAAGTCAAAACTGGAACCATCTGTATAATAACCCACCTTACTGGTAAGTAGAAAGATGCAGGCTCACAGTGATAGGGGAAGGAAGAAAGCCCAAGGGTGTTTTGATAAACAGACTGAATAATTGTTAAGACATGTGGCTGATAAAGGAGTGGGGAAAGTTCTGCTCTCAGAGGGTAAGGAAGCACCTATGTTGTCTGACATTAGATCCCATGATTAGATCCCACTGAGCATATAATTTAATTGGGACAGAATCATTTATCACAATGAGGTTTGCTACTGTGAATTTCTGTTTTAATGACCATGTCATGGATAACCTAAAGAGAGTTTCTGGAGGCCAATAAAACTCCATGAATTTGGTGGAGGAAGCTAGCTATTCAAAGTCTGAGGGCTGACGTTGATCTAGACTGCATCTGTCCTGGATGGAATGACAGCTTAATTATAGTTCTTATCTAGAAAATGACCAATGAGTTTTTAAGATCACCTTCTCTTCCCCCAAGGAGGTTTACTTCACCATCTTCCTTCCTGCAAAGCCCTGTGCTGGAAGCTGTGTGGATTCGGGGCCATTAGATGTCCAGGATAGCGCTCCCTAAACTGGATAAAACTTCTGAAATCTAAGACGAAACCCAGGACAGAAAACCATGAGGCCATGTGGAAATGCCTATTAAGAGAGAGGTTCCCAAAGTAGAAACTAAGATAATGATCACCAAAGATGCGCGGTCCAGATATGAGGCTGCGCTGGACTCCAAGGAGGCAGGTGGCTATTCAGAACGATCAAGCTCTGCATGATGCTGTAGAAACAGATTTCTCCCTGGAGATCAATCTCCTGTAGTGCAGAGACCAGAAAGCCAGGCGGCTGCCTCAGAATCTCTCCTGCCTGACCCTGCACTTGAAAGCCTTTAAGGATAAGGGGCACTGGATGAGGTCTCTTCAGTCCCAAGATATCTCAGAGGTCTTAGACCTTAAGGAGGACAAAATGGGGTAGGCAAGAAAGATAAGTGTGGGCAATCATAAACTTTGTCTCTTTTTGATATCCATGCTCAAGTGACTAATATGCCAGGCTCTCTTGAAGGACATGGACCACTCATTCCATTAGCCAGATTTGAAATGGAATTAAATAGGAGAGGAAGTGACGGTGACCTTTGGGTCGGGCTGTTTGGACCCCTGTTACATACCACTTCTACTGCTCCCAAGGCTTGTTCTGTGAATTCCCATAATGTCTAAGGGAGCTGTTCCCAATGTGGAAGAGCTACCTGTAGAGAGGTGAGGATGGGACACAACAGATGACAATTTGGCTCAAGGTACCCTCCCAATATAATAGCCCCAAGAGGCCAGTGAAAAAAGCTCACAGTGTCTGGAAGCTTGTGGAGGATAACTGCCAACTGCATTCAGCTTTTGCTTCTGCAGTTCTGGCTGTTCCAGGCATTGTGACTGTAACTCAATCAATTGCCCATTATGGCATCTGGCATATGGTCTTGGACTTTGGCCATGTCTTTTTCTTAATCCCTTTGGCTTCCAAAGATCAAGATCCTGGTTCTGACTCAGCTTCCCAAACATAATCACTGTGCAGCCACAGTGACACTTGGGTTCTCCGGCTCTTTGCCACTATTGGGTGGGTCAGAACACTGACCAAGACACTCTCTTCTTGCAAATGACTTGGGCCTACTACAATGATGATTTTATGTTGATGAGCCCCAATAAATTTAGCAGATGCTAATAATTCACATGAAGGCCCAGGAGTGCTTATTAATTCTGATAAGAGTCAGGACCAGCCACCCAAGACAAGTCAACATTTTGGAAGCAATGTGAGTTACCACTCAAAGGTGGATCCTAACGACAGTGAAGAAAATGTTCACTGTGCTGTGGGTCCCCACCACCAGGAAGGAAGCCTGGCACTTCATTGTACCGTCAGGTATTAGAGGAAACATTTGTCCTACCTATGTACGTGTTCTGTTGAGATTGCAAGTTAATCAGAAAATATGCCGAATTTGAAAGGAGACCTAAGCAGCAGGTGACCCTGCAGGCAGTGCCTCGGGATGTCCCAGCAGCCCAGCCCTGGGACACTTTCAAGAGACAGATTTCTGTCGTTGGGGGTCGCCTCCATGAGAAGTGCCCCTTGGTACCTCCTTAGCATCAATGCCCCCTTCAGTTGAGGAAGGAATACTTTAGACCTGGGGAGTTTTAGAGGGGAAACGATTAACACTCTCTTTTTCTCCAAATGCCAGCCCTGCCATCAATAAAACAATCACATGCTTCACCGAGAGGAGCAATAGCTCCGCCTGCCACCCTGGCCTACTTCAGGGATTATCACCTCAATCTGCAGGCTGTGGGGTCAGAAAAGCTCCCAGGGCCTTGGCCAGCCCTGAGTGACTCTATGTGCCTGATATTATCAAAGGCAGCTCCTAAATGGGAAGTCCCTGGTACATGTACAAACACACAGAGGCAGTCTCATTTTAGTTAGGCTCCTACCGATTCATATACTTTTCCTGACATGTGAATTCCCTAGAGTTACACCATGGGTGGCTTTCACGACTATGACTACTTGGTGACTATCCAAATTAATGTTATATCCAAAGTAATGTGAAGGTGATCCAAATTAGGTTTACTGACAAACCCAAAACTGAACATGTCCCCTTCAATTGTATGTTTTCATGTGGGCAAGGGAAGGCCACAGGATAACCTCACAGGGGCTACAGCTTGTCTCATTTTTGCCCCCTTGTATTTATTGGCTATAACGCCACTCCTTGCATCACATTCCTTTCGTTAGGCCTCCAGGTAAAAGAGCTGTCCCACCTAAGGGACACATGCTGTTTCCATACAGCAGTGTGAGCCTCGTTCTCTGGCATCAAAGTTCACATTCGACTGACAGACAGGTCAGGAACCCACCCTTGACTTTTAGCTACCATAGCCAGTAAGTCGGAACAAGGCATAGGAGGTCAATTGGTCAGGTTGAACTCCCTGATTGTAAATGGATCATCGACTGGCCCCAGAGTACATTCTGGTTCATTTGGTCGCCAACCCCTCCT